TCTATTGAAAATAAGGAAAGCTTGTAAGTTACTCATTTTATGCATATGTATGTCAATAAGAGGTGATAATCATAATATTATTCAAAGAGGCCAATTTATAGAGTTCATGAGAATTACGCTATAAATTAATATTAATTACAATTATGTTATGATGTTCCAGAAATCTTTTTCATTTTTAAAAAGTCAAAATTAATTTCATTAAAATTTTTTTCAATTTTCGTCTTCTTCTTCTTCTACTGAAAATGAGCCATATTTTTTTTTTTAAATCTTGTTAAAATATTTTGTTCTATATGAATGATTTCATTAAAAAAATTTTTAACTAAAAAGGTTCATCTTCTTATAATTTTAACATTGAACCAAAATCCATAATATTAATACGTATCACATAATTTAAGAAAGAAATAAAGAAAAATTTTTCAAGAAAACCAAGATTCGAAAAAATTAACAAAAAATATTGAAGGCGGAAATATATAAGGAATGAGTCATTATAGAGTGAGAGTATATATAAAAAAAAAAAAAATTAAAACAAAAAAATAATCAAATTACTGATGTCATTATTAATTTGAATAAAATTTTTTATGTATTTGAATTAAGAAAAATTGAATGTAAGCAAGCATCTATAAAATTGAATACTGTACTACAAAATGAAATCGCTGATTATGACTTATGAGTATATTAATATTAAGTTTATTCAAAAGTTTTTGATATTTTTAAAACAAATAGTCACAATATATTATTTTTGCCTATTTAACATTTTAATGACTAAATCTTGGTGGCATAAATATTAAACCCCTCTGTGAATTTAATTTCACAAAATATTGAAATTCACATATATTTATTTTTTTATTGAAAACAAAAGAAAGAAAAATATTGGTCATATCACACCGTTCCGAAATCTATTAATTAAGATTTTTATAATAGGTACGTAATTTTGACATATAGTGTTTAAAACAATTTTACAGCTTATAGAGATATACAATATTCCGCTCTCTATCTTTCATGATATTCTCCATAAATTTATTCAAATTTCAAATAATAAATTTAAATTTATATAATTTAAATTTATTATCATAATTTCCTGTAATTATTGCAACCGTATGTACATACTTATACATAATATAAATGCGTAACGTAAAAGAAACGATGACCATATTATATATACAAAGTCTATATAGTAAAAACTAAATGATTTTTGTAATTAAAAATGACTAATATGCTGGTCAGTTTTAAATTTTTTTCTTTAATTATAATTAATAATATATATGGGATAATATGATAAAGAAATATGTATGTATAATGTATGGGGATATTATGGTAATAAATTAGAAAAGTGTGTATATGTATAGCTTGTTATATTGTGTTAATATAGCAAAAATTAATTTTGATAGTAAGTAGATTATATTGTATGTTTTCTTTAATATTAAAGTGAATTTTTGTGATTAAACTAGATTACTAAGTAAATTTACGGTATTAGTATTTAAGAAGTGGCATACTTAATGAAAATCTTAAATTATTTTTCTTTCTTCATTTTAATTAAAATTTTCCAAGTAAGTATTTAAATAAAATACTTGATTATCAACAATATTAAAGTCATTTTAAGAGTAATTTCATTAAACATTATTTTAACAATTAGTTTCACTACACTAACTAAAGAAAAACAATAAGCATTTACTTATTTTATAGAATTCAGTTAATAGCATATTTTATAAAACAAAACAAAATATAGGATGCGAAATAATTATGAAAATAAATATTTCTTAAATTATTGATTATCCAGCCGAACTAGACAATTCTTAAACAAAACTCTTAAACTTGAATTTCGTCAAATTATTTTAAATAATTATTTAATTTTAATTTTGAAATTTACGCTAGTCTCGAATGAATTTTACAATATTTCACTATTTTTTTGCGATTGATTATACTTTTAATTATTGCACATAAAGCATTTGGATTTGAGATTCATACATATAATATCAGTTTATCCATTCAGCTCCTCAATGTGATCATTTTAGAATAGAATGTACTGAAATTATTATGTTAATTTTTAAGCGACATGAATTTTTGATGAGACATAAGCAATTTATAGGTTTCAATGTGATCAAAGCTTAAAGATGATAGAAATATACATATACTGACACTACATATGTATATATGTTACATATATATGTGTTAATTTATATGTCAGAAGTATATTTTTGGTATCATAAATATTTGTGAGATTTTTTTTAGAAAGAACTAACACTTAATATATATTTATATACATTTTGAGCCCTGTAGATTTATATAAATCGGAATTCATACATCTTCAGAGTTAAAAAAAAATTTATTAAAATAATGGTTTTATAGTAACAATTTGATATATAGATCACCGCAATTCTAAGAGATTAAATAAGTACAAAACGATTAATTTCAGCGAAATTTTTCTTACAATTATTAAAATATATTTCGTGTAAACTAAAAAAAGAAAAAAGAAACTTACCATAATTTATGAGAAGAAAATTAATCCATGAATTTTGTTTCTTGAATTCCATTTTGATTTTTTTTTTTTTATTATTCTATTCTAATCTATATTCTATTCTATATATAATAACTTATAAATTTAAATATATATATATATATGTATTTATAATTTTTTATTTATTTTTATTTTATTTAAATTGTTAATTTAATTATTTTTATTATATTTTAAAAATTTTATTTTATTATTTTAAATTTTTTTTCATTTTGATTTTTTGTAAATTATAAAAAAAATTAAACACTCAATTATATTTCTATGCAAGTATAGTAGAATTTTTTTTATTTCTCTATATAATTTATTTTTAATATAGTAATTTTACATTTATAAATTCTTAATTATTTAAAAACACTACTTTTTTTCTTCTTTAGAAATAAAACAAAAAAAAATCACTCTCAATTTATTATTACAATGAATTTTTAAAATTTTTATATTTTTTATTAAATATATGTAGTAGTAAAAAAAAAATTAATCAACTGATAAAAACACTGGATTGACTAAAATATTGAATTTTTTAATTTTTTTTTAAATTTTTAATATTAAGGATTTTTGTTTTAAATATATTTACAATTATAAATACATAAAATGTAGAGCTAAGGTAATTATTTTCTTTTTTTGGCAAAATTATATTGGCATTTTCTTGTTTTCTTTTTTAGTGTTTTTTTTTTTTTTTTGTATTTTTAAGAGTAATTAGGTATTTATATTAGAATAGAATCAAAAAAAAACAAATAAAAATAATTAAAATAACAAAAATCACTATTTTTAAAAAAATTAATTTTAAAAATTCAGAAATTTATTAATTGTTCACTTATTATTTATTTTGTGGTTTATAATAAATTATTTAATTTGAGCATTTATATTTATTTTTCAAAAAAAAAACAAAATTATTAATTTAATTTTACAATTATTTAATTGTTGTTTATTTATTTATTTATTTTTTTTTTAACAATAAATATTTATTTTATTTCGTTAATATTTTCGCACAATTTAGCTCTTTAGTTTAATAAACACAATAATATTTTTTCTCTCTTTTTTCTTTTTTAATTTTTATTACTTTAATTCGGATAATTATAAAAGTTATTATTTTATAAAATATTTCAAAATTTATTTTCTTGTTTTTTATTATTTGTTATACAATACATTAAATTATTGTTAGTTTACATTAATTGAATTTTACACATAATATATTTGCAGTATAACATTTAATTTTATTAATTTTAAAAATTTTTCGCTTTTAAAACGTTTCTATATATATAGAATTTTAAATATATATTTATTTACTTTTAAATTGTTGTAATTTTATTTAATATTTCTATTAAATTTTTTCCAAATATTTTTTAATATTGTAATACAAATCATTCGATTATTTAAAAAAAAAAAACAAGTATTTGAATCATTAATAATTTCAATTTATTTTGTTATTTAATTTGTTATACCTTTTTTGAGGTTAATTAAAAACGTTCATGGTAGCAAATAATAATTTTATATATAGTATTTTAATAATAATAATTATAAATTGTTAATATTCTCAATTTTAGAATTTAAACACGAAATTTTTTCTATAAATAATAAAATAATTTTTTCGATATTATTGTATTTTTTTTTGTATTATTACGAGATTAATAATTTTAATATTTTAAATTTTAATATTTTTGGCAAGAATTTTATGCATTATGCTTTGCATATTACAAGTAAGAAAATGTTTACAAGTATAAGTAAACTAATTTAATATTGTATGCAACTTTATTGCATAGGATTGGGAGGATAAAATAATAACAAGAAAACTAAAAAAGAAAATAAAATATTTAAATTAAAAAAATTTAATTAATTATTTTTGTTTTTTTTTTTTTATTATGAAATTTTAAATTTTTATTTTCAAATATTTTGATTTCGAATTTCAAAACACATTTAATATTTTCATATTGAATATTTTAATTATTTTGTAAATATTTTGAATTAAAATTTGGTACAGAGCTCACTGCTAGATATATTGTTATATTTATATTGTTATATTCGTAGAAATTATTATACAATAAATTTTTTTTTTTTTGTTAATTGTTTTTTATTTTAAATTTAATTCTTTTCAATTTATGAAACATTTTTAAAATATTTTTTGCTTTTGTTTTCGAAGTATAGAAAATTTCGATTATTCTTGTTAAAAGATTTTTGTCACTCGAATGATGACTTGTTAAATTTTTTTTTGACTTTATTATTTTAATAATTTTTTTTTTCTCAGTATGTACGTAAGTTGTTATTATTTCCTCTTTTTTTGTTTCTTTTTAAATAAAAATTTTTATTTAGAAATTTTTTATCAGCTTTTTAGTATCATTTTTAATGATTTTATGTATTTCATTTTGTCTTTTTTTCTCTCTATGGTTCTTGCCTATAATTTTTGTGTTTTATTTTTTTGAAAAAAAAAAAAAATTAAATGAAAAATTGTTATTTTCTATAAAACATATACTTATAATCCTTTCATTCGTTTCGCTTTTCTATTTTTCTGTTTTTTTTTTTTTTGTCCTTGTACAATATGATAAACAATATTGGAAATTTTTCTATTAATATTATTTTTTGTATTTTATTTATTTTTTTTTTTAATATTCTTTTGTTCGAAAGTATGTGTATATGGTAACCGCGCTACGATTCATTAACCGAACACGAACAAATAAGAACACTTTTTCCTCTATATTTGAAGAAGAAGAAGAATAATACAAAAACAATGAGCACAAACCCAAAAAAAAATCGAACTGTAAACGAAATGTAAAAAAAAAAAAAAAAAAGCGAAAAAAAATATGATAAACGATTTCGAAATTGATTGTTATTCAATTACAGTTATTTGCACATTTTCACGCAATTTGTATTAAATTTATGAGCGTTGTGTTTGTTATTTTCCGCTATTTTTCTTTTTTTATTATACTCTTGTTTTTTTTTCTGTTATACATATAATATTTTTTAAAGCCTTTGCTTACTGTTTATTTGCTTTATTTTTTTTTTTTTATTATTATTGAAAAATTTTACGCCTTGTCATTCTGTAAATATTTCAAATGTATGTGTGTAGGTGTGTGGATGTACATATAAAATATGTGGAATAGATTTTCAGGGTTGTTTTAGCATATTTTGCCTTAGTTTTTTGGTACAAAATATTTTCGTTTTTTTGTTTTGAAAAATCAACAAAATTAACTTTTCTTTTTCACTTCAGTAATTTTTTGGAAAATTTTTTTTAATTTGTTTGTTACAAAAAAAAAAAAAAAAAATTGTTATTTGCAACGTTTTCCGATTAATTTTAAAAAAAATTTAATTTTTTTTTTTTGCAGCTATTTTCATTAAAACAATATTTTAACTTTTACTTCTCATAAATAATATTCAAGTAGAAGCAGCTATTTGTTCTCTATATATAGTAAACGAAAAATCCTTCAAAGTTAAATTTGAATTCCTGAAAATAAAAGAAAATAATAAATTAATAAAAATTTTCTCATTAAATTTTTTTTTTATAAAATTTAATATTAATTAAAATTTGTATACATAATAATACATTTATATGTATAGATGTAAGTATGTTAGTTTGTAATCAGAAATATTGAAATATAATTAAATAATTTCACATATGTATATGTATGTATGTATATAGAATAAGTTTAATTATTTCAAGCGGAAAATTGACTTTTAACACATATTTAAACACATATGCACATATATTTTTTATATATATACATATAAAAGCAATAATAATAAACAAAAATAACATGTATATAACAAATAAGAACTAAAAATAAATTAATTAACTATATTATATACATATATACGAGTATATATATAAATATTATTGTGTATAATTTAAATAATGATAAATTTTAATAATAAGATTACCTAATTATTTTCAGCAGTTTTTAATTTAACCCGCGTTTAAATGATTTTAATCTGATTTATATTATATACTTAATATATAGAGAAATTTTGTTGGTTTTTTAAATATACATATATACACACGAGTATGTATACTTAATATGCCTAATTTCAAATGAAAGGAATTCTAATTTTATCTACATATATATATATAAGCTAATTGACTGAAATATAAATTATATACATGATTTTGTAATAAAATATGCCTAACTAACTAGTATTTATTTTTAAAATCACATGTATGCATATAAGTATACCAATATAATATCAAATATAGCATTTATTATATGAAACAAAATTTATTCAATTAAAAATCTATTTTAAAATTCAATGCTTTTGATTAATAAATAATATATAAATAATGATTAATTAAAATTTTAAATTTAATAAAGTGCATTTAGAATAGAATTTTGTATAATCTACAAACTTTGCTCATATTATGCTAATTTAGGTAATTATTATAGAAAAACCGATAAAACCTCTATTAGTAATAAATAATACCTAAAACTTCTATTGCAAAAAAATTTGCTATATCAAAATTTTAAGCTCATTGTGTTTTAAACGTTTAAACATCTTCTCTCTTACATCTTTTAAATTTCTTAAAATAAATTATTAAATAAATTAATCGCTGATATTAGCTTATTGTACAAAGCTCATACTTCTTAATTTTTGTAAAATTTTTATAATTTTCATTTTATACAAGATGAAACAATTTGTATAAAACAATTAATATGAATTTATTACAATTGCATTTATTATTTACGATATAATTAGTAAATTTAAAAATTAAGAATAAAATCATTTCAAATCCTTCAGAAATTTATTTTAACCAATAAAACACAGTAAAAATTCTGTAAACAAAATTATTATCCGAAATTCTATTACAATATTATTGTAATCCAGCAATCTTCTTTCAAGAAAGAGGACAAATATTCAACACAATTAAAAAAATAATAATGCTCATGCAAAAATAAATTGCTCATTAAGTAAATGATTAAGTATTGAAGATTTTTTGTTATATAAGGAAGAGTTTGAAATCCTGTTGCACTAAATTATATTCAAAATTATTATATTCATAAATAATTTGAATAAATATTAAAATATATTCAATATTGTAATTGCCTTATAGTAAAAAAAACTCAAATTAAAATAAGAATTAAAAATAATTTTTAGAAAAAAAAATAAACAAAATACTTCTATGCTTCAGGATAATGTAAGATTTTTGAATATTTCAAAATTAATTTAAGAATCAAAAAAATGGAATACGTTTATTCTGCATATTCGCTATACTTTTAATAAGAATTACAATATTACAAACACATAACAATATACAAATTATAGAATCAACAAAATAAGTAATTCCTTATAGAATTATCCGAGTGCGAGAAAAAGAAAATTAATATATGAAAAAACCAAGCAAACTTAGATAAAAGAACGTTAAATAGAAGAAGCGTTATAGAAGAAACAACAACAAAATACCGAAAAAAAAAAATTCAAATAGAACAATCATTTTTAAAGTGATTTCAAATTATAATAAAAAACAAAAACAAAATTGGAAAAAAAGGAAATTATGAAAAACAGACTAAAAATAACTTAACTGGAAACAAAAACGAAAAAAAAAAATAAAAAAAAATATTCACAAACATCAAAAATTTTGACATTTTCAAAAGAAAAATTAAAACAGCACAGAGAAAAAAAAATTTGGGAAGAACAGCAAAAAAGAATGTTTTTTTTTTCTTTCAATTTTAATTTTTTTTTGTTTTGTTTTTCTTTTTATTGTTATCCTTTAAACTTTTTCGTTTGGATTTTCTTTTTTCAATTTTTTTGCTTTTTTTTTTTTGTTTAAACGTGAAAATTTTAAATCAACTTTTCGGAAAAAACAAAAAAAAAAAAAAATTTTTTTTTTTTTTATTGTTGTTTAGGAAAAGTAACAAGGAAAAGAAAACAAAAAAAATAAAAATAAAATTGGAAATTCATATCCTCTCTAATATTAAAGTAAAGTTTCTTCATTTTTGTTCAGGAACAATTCTGTTTTTTTTTCTACTTTGCTTTGCTTTACTTTTTATTAAAAGGACCTAAAATAAAAAAAAAAAACAGAATGAAAAAAGGATACATATAATAAATAAATCAAAACAAAAAAAAATGAAGAATAGAAAAAAAAAAAATAAAATTTTACACTGAAATGAAGGATGTAGGAACAGTGAAAAATTTGTTTATTGTTTTTTTTTTTTTCTCTGTGTATTTATCTAAATATATCTTCGTTATATGTATATATATATATATATGTGCATATACGTAAATATATTAAATAATATAATATAATTTTAAATAGGTATGAGAATATGTAAGTGTAGGTTTGTATGTTCTTATACATACACACATATCTTTATACATAAATATTTCTTTTGCTTTATAAATAAATTTATTCACTTTTCGCCTTTTCATTTCATGGTTGCCTTTTTTTATTCTGCTTTTCTGGTTTCTTATATATATATATATATATATATACTTATATACGTTATATATTTGTATGTAATTTCTTGTTATCAAAAGTTTACAGGCGTTACAAAATGAATACATTTTTTTTAACAAGAGCACAAAAAAAACAAAAAATATGCGAATTTCTTCTAATATAATAAATTCATGTTTCATTTCTCTTTTTCTTACATATTTTATAATAAATTTACAATATATATATACTTATACATATAAATATATATATCCGTAATATATTAAAAATGAAATATATATATATGATTTTAGCCGTTTATCAGTGTTATAACAACAAGTCAGTCGTCGTCAGTATTGGTTGAAATGTCCTTGAAAAATGAATTTATTTTTTTTTTTTGTTTTGTTGTTCTTTTGTCTTCATTTAAATAAATACGCAATATACATAATAAGTAACTGTTATTTAAATATATATATACAATATATATACCAATATTTTACAGTTATCTAAATTTTTTTTTTTTTTGTTTTTTTCATTTAATTTTGAACTTTAATGGGAAAATATTATTATTAAGAATTATTAAAGAGAAAATGTGTTATACAATAATATTTTGCCGAATCAATAAATTGATTTATATACGTATATAAATGAAAGTTACGTTATTTTTAATATTTTTTATTTAATTTTAAATAAATATATATTTTATTCTTTAAAATTTTATTGTTCTTAAAGTGTTTTGTTATTAATAGTCTTTTGAATTTCAATACGGATTTTCTATAATTTTATTTTGTTACAATAAAACTTTATATATTAAAATATAATAGTATAATAAACGTAAGTATGTGACTCTGCATTTTGGCTTATATTATTGTTCTAGATAATCTGCAATATAAAGGTTTTATGTACTTTTGCAAATTGCACACAAATTACAACAACGAAATTAAACTTAAAACTCAAATATTATTTTACGAACACATAGTAAGAATGAATGGTTCATCAATAATGGAGCAATTAAATAAAATTAGAAAACCTCGAGAATGCTTAACTGAAAATATATATATTTATAAATTAAAAAATGAAAACCTAATACTTAACACTTGCATTATTTAGTTTCTTCAACAAACTATAACAAAATTACTACAAAAAAAATTTATTAATATATTTATTAATTTTAGTATAATTTATAATAGTCTTCTGCAAAAATTTTAATTAGTAATACAGACACTTAATAAGATACAGCTTAATAGCTTTTAAAGAATCTTTTATTTCCATTAACAAATTTTTATAACAAAATTCAAGGGACAGGAGATCAAAATTTTCAACAGAGGTTCCCTTGATTTGCAAACCTAAACTGTATATGTAATTAGTTGGACTCCAAAAATTCGCCTTAATTTGATGTAAAAACTTGAATTACCAAAACAAGTTCAGCAAGGCAATTTGGTTGAAACACGATCCCTAAAATTTTTTTACGTATAATTGATTGATAAGTTTTTTACCGTAACTAGCTTCACGCTACCTATATGACGCTTACGTGGCATTTTTAAGTTATACTTAATATGGTCCTAATGCAATAAAGACTTTTGGACAATGTTAATTTAAGATATTCTAGAATTTGTTAAGTGTGAACTACATCCAAATTAAGTATATGAAAATGAATGAAAAATTTCATAAATTATAAAAGAACCAATAAGTTTATGTTTAAAAACATTCAACCTTATATAAAATTCGAACTTGGATTAAACCCTAATATATAAGATTTTAAATATTGCAATATCTTTAAAAAATAATGCAAACCTAGAGCTTTGGTTTAAAATTTTGATTGGTGACCTTCAGAATAAAAATAGTTAATTAAAATTTTATTTAATCAAAACGTTTTCCATAATATTTTATTTTTTGTTAAAGGAAATTTTTAAATATTTTATAATATTTATAGCTATTCATATCCTTTTTTCCGTTTCCGTTCTTATTTTGCTATAAAATTTAAATATTTTATTCTATTTTATGATATATTGATATTGAATTATATAAATCAATTTACGATATTTTCTTTGGAATCATGCATTTATAGGATGGGTTATCCATCGTTTTTTTTTTGCTAATAAGTTATAAGAAATTTAGTTGATATTAATTATAGGGGTTGTCACGCAAATTGAGTTACAAACCATACGTAACGAGCAAAATTAATCCCTTTTTAATACAAATGACAGGCAATTAATAAAATTTTTTAATCCCTAATCGTAGCATTTTTGAAAACTAAATCCTAACTTAGCCATCCTCATCACAAGTACTTATACAGGAATCCATTTTTTTTTTTTGTAAAATTCAATTTTAAATTTATTTTTTCATTTATGATTACTTATACCATTCATTTGGTAATTCCAGAGATTTTTATAGAATTTATCCATACCCAAATAATTATTATTGCTTTAAAAATATCATGGGAAAAATTTTAAAATTAGAAAAAATATTTTCAATTTTAATTAATATGTTAAATCTGTTAAAAATCCCTCAAAATTTTGAACCTTAAATTTTAATATTTCAAAATTTATTAATTTAAATAGGTGTACCTAGTTAAATTCTTCTTCTCAAATTCTTTTAAATTGTACTCAGTAAAATTACAAAAACAAGTACTTGTTTAAAAAGAAATTTTTGTACAATAATCATAAAAAAAATTAATTGAATTACTTAATTATCCTTAATTACTTATTTATTATTTCAAATAAAATGCATAAGAATATAAGGATAATTTTAATGAACATTAGAGTGTAGAGATTAAGAACTTTTATATTTGTATTAATATTTGAACAACAAACTACGGCAGGCTAGTCACCTACCTAATAAACTCTATGACGCTATGTAACAAGTGCATGATATCATGCATTATCTCTATACCTCCTCCTAGGAGTGAAGAAGGAAAAAAAAAATATTTGAACAAAATTTGTCAAATTCCAATATTAAATACAAAATGAAATAATTTAATTATAATAATATTGATAGCACAATATTAATACTTAATATATATGTGTAGGTCAATTTTAAAAGAATGAACGAAAATAACAAACAATAAGAGATATTTCAGCTTGTTGAACACAATTATTAAAGAAATCTTGATTAAAAAAATAAAGGACATTATTATTTGCGTTGAATGGAAAAATTTTGAATTGAATGCAATTAAAATTGATAAAACATAAAACCCAATTATATTGTAATTGATTAAATTTGTGGTATTTTTATATTAAATTGTAATCGAAACTGTACCAAAGAAATATGTCAGGGTTATGCCAGGGTTATACAAAACACTTTTTCTAGAAAAATTTTATAATAAACTTTAATCAAATACTAATTACACATAACTACAATTATTACATAGCAAATTCTCTTTGAAATTTTGTAAATACCCTATACAATTGTAGTAAGATCAAATTAACCACTTTCAGGATAAAAAATAACTGAAAAATACCCTAAAATTTTCATCACTTAAGAATATAATTAATGTACCAATAACTCTGTAATAACTCTAATTAAATATGAAAAATTTCTGATTAATATGAAAAATTTTCCCCGAAATCCAATTAGAAATCAAATATTAATTTTGGTTAATCATGATAAAATATCGTAAATTTTCATATAAAATGTTGTTACTCTTAATCTATTTCATTTTATGAGAATTTTCCAAAATTTCTCTACTATTTAATTATTTATCTATTGCCATTGAAAAATAATTAAAATTTATTTTTTTTGGGAATTTTTCAAATACTGCTTTTGTGCTTTTAAAAAAGCACACATAATTTTTACGTTATTATCCTTTTGATATTCAAGTATGTTACAAGTAAACCAACACAAATTTCTTTTGTAAATTAAGTAATACTAAAATTAAATTATATACAAAGAGATTTAATTAAAATGAATTAAATGAAGAAAAAAAAACTATGTTCTCGCTCTCTCTCTCTCTCTGTGTTATTTAAATTTAATTTTTATATAACAAATTGGTTTTAATTAAATGCACAATTATAGGGCTAACAATATTATTTTTTTTTTTTTATTTGAAAGCAAAAAAAAAATTTTATACATTATTGACGTCATTATTGTGTATGCAAAATTTACATTTAACTTACTTTTAATATGATTTTTTCCACAATACTTTTAATGATTTTGGATCCACATATATCCTTTTTGTGTATTTTAATAAACGTACTCTTTTACTTAATAAAAAAAAAAATAAAGGAATTTTGTTTTCTTGTTTTTTTTTTTTGTGTATAATACCTTTTACACTTTTTTTTTTATCTTCTTAGTTTAATTTAATTTGTTTTAATAATAATTCTGTTACATCAAATTCAACTAAAAGAATTTCTATTTTCTTATCCTTTTTTTTCAATTTCATTTAATGTATGGTATATTTATATTTAAATATACATACATATATTATGTATAAAGCCATAAAAAACAATTTTCGTTGTATCGTTTTCTTACTTATTTATTTTTTTTTTTTACTTTTATTTATTTCCGTTTTTTTATTACATTTATTCCAAGTTTAAGTTTTAATACGAGAAAATAATTTTTTTTTTTCAATATTTTTTCTTGACAATAATCCTTTATTTTCTTATATATATATATATGTATATATATATATATATTCTTTTTCGTTTGCTTTTTTTTTTTGGCGAAAAACTGATATGAATAAATTTTTTCCCCTGAATTTATCTTAAAGGATGTAGGCTGATTATATTGTGTTGTTTTTGTTTTTTTTTTATTTTCACCAAATTTTTTCTTCTCTTTTTTTTTTTGTTTTTACAAATTTCACTAATAAAATGTAATTTAATTTGATATTTTCAATTTATAAACTTAATAAATTTTTATTAAAAAACAAATTAAATCGAAAATAATAGCAGAAAAATCTTTTTCTTTTTTATTTTTTTTCTTAATTAAAAATTCAATAGATTAATCACAAAGTATAAGAAAAAAAAAACCGCATTAAAATTTTTTATATTTAAAACGCATTCAACACTCATAATAATAATCTCTCTTCTATATAGCAAAATGGAAAAAAAAGCCCGTCAGTGCCGCAGCACAGCTAAATTTCAACTAAAGAAACTCATCAAAAATTTTTCGTATCAGCGCAACGCAGAATTTGGAAGCTGTGCCAAGTGTTTTTTATTTTTTCATTTTCGTTTTTTTGTTTTTTTTTAATTCTTATTTTTCTTACTGTTTTGTATACGATAGGAATTTTGTCAAGTAAAAAAAAAAAAAATAATATTAGAGAGAGAAAAATATCACAATAATTCGTTTAATAACACAAAGAGAGAAAATATTGAGAGAGAGAGAGAAAAAAAAAATACATGGAAATTTATGAGATATTGTATTTTTTGTATCTTCTAATTATTATTTTAGTTCTTTAATTTTGACATAAATACTCTCCTACTCATTTTTACACTAAAAACATATTCTTGTAGAATACGAGTTACTGATAAAAAAAAAAACAGTAAAAGATTCAATATGAAAATAACGAAACGCAAAAGTATGACACTCACCACCATACTCCTGACCAGATACGAGTATTATTATGACCATTATATCTTATCAAAATGAAAAAAAGGATACATGTAAAATGATTAATAAAAAATAATCTCATATTATTAAATTGAGAAATGAGAGAATTTCGAAAAGAGAGATTAAAAATCTAAGTAAAATTTTACTGAGAAATCCAATTCAGCTGCATTAAATTTAATATTTAATATTTTCTTATAAGAAGAAAACTTTAATAAAACTATCTGAGAGCTGAATAAATATTTTATTTATTTTCTCTTTTTAATTCTTTAACTGTTATATTATAGTTTCTTTTTATTATTACTATTAATTTACATGTTAGTTAGTATTCAATAACTATAGTATGTATAAGAACTTCATGAATATAGGGATTTGTTTTCTTTTTCAAATACATATTAATGAATTTCAGTATTGTAAAAGAGAAAATTGAAAAAAAAAAACGCTTAATATGAAAATTTATGCTGAATATGAATATTTTTATAAAATATAAAATACACCTGCTGAATGTACAGATGGAAAAAAAAAAATAATTTTATTTTTTGCTTATAAATACACACATTCTACGAGTATGTATGTATAGTAGAAAAAAAAAATAGGTATATTGAAAGTAAAATTTTTATTTAGATTTAAACAAATTAAAAGTTGAAGAGAATATTTTTCTTTCTTCAAAAAACACTAATTTGAAATGTAATAATACATGTAAAATTCGATGTCATGTCATTATGACAATAAATCATTTTTTACCAATAATTAGAGACAATATTAATTAACCTTGTTTACAGCAATTTCTGTACTTAACATTTCAATGTTATTTAACTTTTATGTCATAAATTTAAGGGTTTCTTTAGTTCTGTCATTTTTGTTTTCCGTCAATCTGATTTCTTTTAAAATTATCAACATATTATTATTATTGTTTTTTTTTTTTTTTGAAATGAGATTAGAGTTTTAGAGAGAGCTGAATAAGAAATATGTCTTCTGTTCCAGTTGAGAAATTCAAGAATTGAGTACTGAGTAAATGAGTTGAGTTGAGTGAGAATATTGTTTTCATTTATTTCTCTCTTCTCTCTAAAACATAAAACATGTTCGTTAATCAATAAAACTCTCTCTTACGCAATTTTTAAATTTAGAGATAAAATTATAATTGTATATTTTGTAGATACCTACACCACATTTTGAACCTGTGTATCTTGTATTAATAAAAAAAAAAATGTTTTTTTTTTCTTGAATATTATGTTTAAAGTTTATTGCGCTCTAGTGGGCTCTCAGCAGGGGAATATTTATGAAGAAAAAAAAAAAAAGAAGCAAAGTGTGTGTATTATAAGAATAAAATCTTAACGAATTCAATGTTTGGGTCGCACGACTTTTGTTTTTATTTATTTTAATTTTTTTTTTTCTTGTATACAGAGAACATAAATATGTGAAAAGGAGAGTATATTAAAAAAATAAAAATAGCATAAAACATAATTCTTATGGTCTTACATGTTACCAGTTAAATTGAATAAAACATATTTTTAGATTATCTTTTATATACTACATACATATGTGCATATTATAATATGTTCTTAATGTTTACATACATATTATATGGAAATTGTGTAGAAAAATTTTTTGTTTATTATGTATTATGAAAATATTGTTGTCAATTCTCGCATATGCTATTGTACATATTACTATTACTAGAATGTTTTTATACATTTTAATTATTTGGCCAATATATTGTGTAAGGATGTGTAAATATGCTGCGTATATATTAATACTATTTTTAATGTTATTCAAAAACTAAATTGAATCGCATTTTCCAGATTAGAATAGATGGGAGACTGTCTTTCAGTTCGGAACCACGATCAACTCGACTCAGTTGTGAGGAACGAAATAGGTTGTACGAGTAATTTTTATTGGAAACAGATTTATGTCGGTTATTAGTCACGCGTAGGTTTACATATCAGAGACAGTTGTAAGGGCCATTGAAGTTGCAACAATTTCAAAAAAATGAAGGTGCATATCAACTTGCAAAATTTGTGACATAAATTAAAAGATCGCTGGAAATAAAAGATGTAGCTGTTGGTTGTTTTCTAGATAAAGTGAGCTCTTGATAACACCATTAGAAATCGTTTTAAATATAAAGAGTAAAAATAAGCATATTTAATTTAAGTTTATCTGTAGCTTGTTAAAAAGTAGGATAATCACCACATTAGTAAGCAAGCTCTCAGTCATTAGCACTACAACTAGATGAGCACAAATACGGGGTGAACACAGATTTCTTCTTTTCAATGGTAAATTGTTGTTGATTCGCTACTACCGATTCTAAGTGACTTCACAACACAAATACAGTAATACTTTGATGGCATAATCATCCTCATTCGTAGAAAGTTTGAGAGCCAATCGCACTTTATTACTTCTAAAAAGCATTTAGACGTGCAAAAGCTTTCTTGGAATGAGTTGCACAGAAAGTGTTACATAACTGTATTGACTCTTTCAACACGCCTTTTGTTCATCCTTAAGAAGGCTTATCTAGTTCTCTACCGGTAACTAGCTGGCGAAAAAAAGCTAGTATCAGGCTTGACGACAGTATGTTTTTCGGTGAAAACAACAGGAATCCACTCTCAGTGTCATTATCACGTATAACTGGTCAACTAAATATAACATTTTTTTTACTTATTTATTTATTTATACATCTACTCAAAACAGCTTATAGATAGCTTGTACAGAGTTTAAAATACGATTATCAGTTTATGACGATGCGCGATAATTTTACCATTACAGAGGCTCAACGAATGGAAGTGGCACGGATCCCATCTGTGACATGGTAAATGTAATTCAGCTGTTCTTGTATTTGGGTATTATTAATGGTTAAAAAAATTTTTAACGCAAAAATTTACATCTACCTCTGTATTTGAAAACTATACAGATTTCGAAGTATGAGTACTCATTTGACGATAACTTAATATTCCACGTCCTCCTATTATTTTACTCATTATTTCTCGTATTTTCAAATATACTCGTATTCAAAACGAAATTGCTGAGAAAGAGAATTAATGTTAGAGGTGAACTGTAAAAGTAGAATGAGAAAATATTTACACAACTACTGTAAGTAAAATGAAAACAAAAATTACCTGAATGATTAGGTATATACACATAAATCGTATTCAGTAATTCTATATATTATACAGACATTATGAATTCGCCGTAATTTTTCGCTTTATTTTTTTTAACTTATCATTGTTAGTTATTCTCATCGTCGTTCATAAGTTATTTTTCTTATAGTTTTAATAATTTTTTAACTTCGTATATTCTTCTTACCTTTTTTGTTTTCATTTTATTTATTTAGTTTCTTTTTTTTTGTTTTTGTTGAACTTGTTATTTTTTTTCTTCTTTAATGTTATATTTTTTTTTTTTGTTTGCTGATGCGGTTTGGTTCATTGCATCTTAAAATATAATCGGTTCGCGTGCCAATAAACTTTTATAGATTAACGCGATCTTTTCATTATGTGTGTGTGTGTATGTTATATTTTTTGTGTTTTTTTTTTTTGCTTTTCTCATTTTGTTTTATTTGTTGGCTCATAATATGCGGACAGTTACACATTTTATATACTAATAATTATATTATATGTATACGAATAAGCCTATATACCTGTATGATGTTAGCAAGATATGTAAGAAAAAAATTGCAAAATTAATAGAATTGTATATAATATGTATATACGCTCATATGTACTATATTCGCGTAATATAGAATATATGAGCGTAAGATGAGAATAATGTATGTAATATATGAGCATATATAGGTAAGCAAGTAATTTAACATATTGTGTATACCGCAATGATTTTTAATTAAATTAAGCATGATGGTGTAAAAGCGTAACCTTTACATACGTTTATTCTATTTATTACAAATCGATTCGAAAATTTTCTGCGTGTTTGATTTTTTGTATTCTTTTGTTACTTCTGTTTTTTGTAATCAATTACTTTTTTTTTTGTAATCTAATGTCGTTTTATTTAGATTGAAAACCAGTTTTAATTCAAGTTAATAACAAAATATTCTGGACACACGTTTTCTTTACTTTGTTCTCTTCATTTCATTTTATTAATCAGGATTTTTTTTTTTTTAAATTCTGTCAGGTGCAATTCATTCGCGTCTTTTACTTTTCGTTTTCTGTTTGTTTGTTTTTTTTTTTGTTTTTTGCGTTCAGTTCACATATACCAACATTAGTTATTTTTCCATTGGCATTTACGCTGGCAGAAAAGTTCTTTTGTTTTATAATAAATTAGTGCAAAAACAGGTTGAAATTATTAAAAAAAAAAAGAAGAATAATAATTAGCAAAAACGGGTAATTTTCTACAGACTTGCAATAGTTACATTTGTAATTTAAAAATTTTCAGTCTCATTAAAGCTCATATTAACAATGATAAAAAAAAAACCAATCAACCAATTTTTTTATTTCAACTTTTATTTGACAAAAAGAAGTCATTTTTTCATCGAAGAATACAGAAGGAAAATATTTTAAGTACTTAAAAAAAAAATAAAAACAAAAATTTTTCTATATTGCTATAGTTA